AGTAACAAACTAAATAAAACTAAACTAAACTAAAGTAAAGTAAAAACGTAAACAAAGTAAACGTAAAATAAACTAAACGTAACTACTACCTACGTACTACACGTACTCTCTCTCTCTCTCTCTCTCTCTCTCTCTCTCTCACGCGCACACAGTTTTGAGAATGACCTGCTCATATAGGAAAAACACAGAAGTTGGGAATTTTTTTGATGCCCAAGCAACAATATCGCGTGTGGAATCTGGATCCAGATATATCAAAACACATTCTGCAATTATAAAGGTCGGCAAGCTGATGACAAAAATAAAAATGAAGCTGCTTAATCATTTAACCAATACAAAATTATTCTATTGAATATGTGAAAATAGTAAGTCCATAAGAAATACACGAAACCATCTCAATGTGTGTGCGTATAATAAAAAGCAAAGGTGAATTTTGTTCAGAACACCTTCATCCCTCATGACAAAAAACAAAAATAAAGTACAAAAAAGAATTCTCAGTTCCCAAGGAAAGCTAATGAATCATCAACGAATGAGGGAAAAAAAAAAGAAGCTAATGAATCATCAACGAATGAGTTAGGTTCTCAGTTCCCAAGGAAATGAAAAGTATCAACGAATGAGTTAGGTTCTCAGTGCCCAACAAAGAACCTGTGAAATGAAAAGTATCAAGGAAAGCTAATGAATCATCAACGAATGAGAAAACAAAAATAAAGTACAAAAAAGCTTTCTCAGTTCCAGAGAGTCCTATGAGCCATGAATCATGAGAGGGAATGAAAGAAACATAAACAACAAAAAGAAGAAAGGGGAACGACAAAGAAAACTGTGGTAACAAATTTAAACACGGTTTTATTAAAACCAGACAAAACAGGCCAGTTGAACTGGTCCACTTGAGGACCAAACTGTTTGGCAAACGAGTTAGGTTCTTGGCCAACGCTCAGAGTGCTACGTCAAGACCTCAAATCATTCAAGTCATTCTTATTACCAAAGTTTTCAGGAAATTATGTTTAGCTAAGACACTGAAAAAACCAGACCTTTATTGCTTTACATCAAAATACAATAGACAGAAAGAAAATGAAAAATATCAAGATGATGGGTATGATGAATACAGACTAGGCTAATTTCTTTTTCAACAACAAATAGGCCAATATTTTCAACAATAATAGCTGCATGGGATTGATGCACATATTGCTAGGGCTGACAATGAGTTTAAGTCCAAGTCAAGTAGACTCTGACCAGAACCACCCGGACTAGGACCTGGATCTGCATCGGTCTCAGACCCAACCTCCCAGACCCAGGTGGTAACCCAAAAGGTCAACGCATGTCCAACCTTGGACCCCCTTGGTCGGGCCAGGTCAAGTCCCCCCTGCCCTGAACCTGACCTAAATAGGTTCAAGGTTGAACCTAAACACAGTCTGGTTCAAACACCCCAGACCCAGACCACGAGACCTGAGGGGAGGATAGAAACCTGGATCCAGGGCAGCCCTATAGACGGCATCTACTATGCCTCAAATCCATAATGCAAGAAGATGCAAGTAAAAACATGCTAAAAAGGAAGTAAATTAAAGATCTTTATTTTCTATCAAAAGGAAAAATAAGAACTATGAAAATAGCACTCATTTTAATATCAATTCATATCAGCATTGGCTTCACACAGTGATATAAAACTGGGTCCAGACTCAACAAAGTCTCAACCTGAATCAGCGGTCCTACTTGAAGCGGTCCTACTTGACCAAGTCTCGACCTGAATTAGTGATCCTACTTGACCAACTCTGTGAAAATTACAAAGGAGGTTTCATTACCGGTGAGACTCCAGTGAGTCTCAGAGGTTTTTTATCCCAATCTCACAACCTGTGGGTCCGAGTGACTCAGGCAAGTCCGAGCCTGATTCATAGAGTTTTTAAATCACTGGTTTCACAAATTATAGCTCACAAATTATACCCCGAACACTCGACTTTATAATGTAGGAAGTCCATAACTCACCTGGGATCCAAACAAGCCTGCTCTACTATGGCATCCAAATGCTGAATATCCCGCAAATCCACAGGAAGAAGTTTGTAATGATCACCTATTACTTCCCCTCTCTCTACAATAAAGGAAAACTTTTTGTGTTAATACAATGGTAAAAGTATGAGGAGAGGTTTCAAACTTCTATTAATTGCATAAAACTATAGTCAATTGTTGAAAGCATTTGAACATTTCATCAAGTTCTGAAGCTCTTGTGCTTAAAAGAGAGTAGAGTTGTCATCTACTTAGAAAAAGAAAAGGCCAAGGTATGAGAAAAACATGGATTTCAGGGTTATTATCTCCTTACACGAGCAACATCCAGCACCTGAGTGCTAAAAAAATATTTTCAGCTAGCTATAAGGAAATCAAAGCAGAGAAGTTCCATCATTTATGTACAATAGATTCTCCAAGCCTTGCACATGGTGAATGATGGTATACAATCCACACTCCAGATCGCAAGAATCTCCTTTCATATCTTCTCCAATGAAATATAGTTTTCTTTTTATGAAGAAGCAAGATGCCAAAGTTCAAGAAATAGTGTGTTTACAAAGATGTGAAAAAGAATAATAGCCTTGGATATGTAAAACCTATGGGTCCACACAATATAAAACATAAAAGAAAAAATAAATTACAAAGCATAGTAGTAAATTACCATAAAACCAACATCCAAAAAACAACATCATGAGACACATAAGATAACGTTTGCTTTAGTAACATGCTATCTTCTATTGAGCATACATGAACATCTTTATTTGGCAAAGTTATATACAAACATCCACTTGCATGTAAAACCATATTAAGTAAAGTTTGCCGTATTGCTTTCTCTTTTAATAATGAGATGCACCATCATTGATTTATCAAATTTTAAAAATCACACACACACACACATATACATATCTATATATATATATATATATATATATATATATATATATAGTAGTACTTACTACTACTATATATATATATATATAGTAGTACGTTACTACTACTAAGAAGTAGTATAGAGTAGAAGTAATAACTTAAATAATAA